TGATGCCATTTTCTGTCAAAGTTTATCATTTTGATGGGTGTTGTTGATGGATCGAATCTTCAATTAATAAGACTGAATTTCGAATTGAGAATGAAATTTAACCTTGTTTAACGATTTAGTCAGAAAACTATCTTCGGCATACTTTCAGCATACAGAACATATCTTGTCTTAATCAAAATTCCAGCTTATAAATGAATTTAATTGTATTCCAATTGACGACGACGGCGATGATCTTGAGCTATTAGCCATACATAGAAACATGTTTAAAGCATTGATTCATCCTAATATTACATGGCACGGTTTGTCCGCAAGCATTTCAATCAAGATCAAATTTGTTCCGAGTACCTTCAACATGATCTCAAATGACAATATCGAAATGAAATCAAAGAACTCCGATGAGATTATCATTGACTACACATCTTTGACTTCATCATAAATCATTTGGGGTGTCTGTTGTAAATTGTATGTTTATTTGACGGGTAATCTGCGAGCAGACGAACTGCATGCATACGTTCCATTTGTGATGCTTCGTAAATCATCTATGTTCTTTCTCTTCCTTGGGATATCATATTTACAGATATAACCTTTGCATGGCAATTAGATCACTTGGTTTTGTCATGCTGGAAGATTCTCTCGACTTCATTTCGCTCTAGCATTCTGATAAATGAGTAGGCCGATTTGTCAACATGACAGAAATATTCATATCAATCAAAAACATCCGACTAATGTCGTATCGGATCTCGCGCGCTCGAATGTAGGTAGACAGAGCAATCGAACGAGCTGAACACACGAACACTGTCTACTGTTTATTTCGTTAAAATCTATGGAATGTCATTGGTACAATAACAAAAGAATCTATGACACATACACTAATCTCTGGTGAATCTATAATAACAAAAGTAAAAAGGAGAAGATAAATACGAGAAGAGAGCTTTGATTCCATGAAACGGAATTTCCTAATCGTTGCTGACTTGGAGATCGAGCTTTTGTTGAATTATCTATCCAAGTTCTATTTCGACTGTCAGTTGTATTGTCGAACCATTGATTTGTAATCAGTGTCGTCATGGTTGATGTGAACTTCGCTTTCAATCGTTTTCTTTCCTCACTGGCCGATAATTTCGCTTCGCATGTGCCTTCGTAGACAATTCGTTCCGCATCAGCTTGATTACAATAGTTCGGTTGTATCAGCCGATGTCGAATCATACAAAAGTCCATCTGACAATTCGAGTACCAATTCAATAATTTCGATATGTAATATCGATCTTGACCTTGATGGGTACATGTTAAATCATTGAAATGATAGAGATAATTCTGAAACTGAATCAATGTACAATTACATTTTAGATTCATGTTGTGATTGATATCGATGACGTTAAATTTGCTTGTTTGGTTAGTTAAACGGCAGAGAAGTTCGGCAAAGGTATTCAGGGTGAGAAGATTGTTCGAACGAAAAGTGAGCTTTTCGATTGAATTCAGATTTAGGAAGCAAAATGCACGTGTGGAAGTTGAATTCAACTGTTGATTTGAATCGAGATCGATGATTTGGATAGAGGGAAGATTCGACGCGAAATAATCATTCAAATACTGAATATGATTCGAGGAGAAGTTCAAAGTTTCCAATGTCTGACTGGCTAATCGCGGGGCATGTTCGAGAGAATTATGCGCTAAGTTAAGAATCTTAATTTTCGTAAGTGATCGAAGAAAATTATTATCAACTAAACGTATTGAATTGTGTTGAAGACGAAGTTCAACGAGATTGTATAACGCATCGAATAAACCATGACAAATCGTGGTTAAATTATTTGAACTGAGATCTAAAAGTTCCAATGAATAATGTCCTGTTCTTTGTATTGTATCATTTATTGTCGTTTCCGTTAATTTGAGTAATGTGTAAATACTTGTGCTGTTCAAATGACAGGAAACGAGATGAAATTGTTTTAGCATCGGTAGATTTACGAGAATTTCACCGATGTTCAAGTATTGAAAGAGATTGTAGGAAACATCGAAGATTTCTAAAGAAGGATCGAATGTGGAAATACGATTAGAAGATTACGGAGACGTACCGAGACTCGAACCAGGTGAGATTAATGCTTGAGGATGAAGTTCTCTCAATTGATTATGATTAATATATAATTGTTTTAAATTTTTGATTCGATCAAATGCGGTTGGCTCAATCCGACGCAGATAATTCGATTTCAAACTGATCTTTTCCACATAAATATCTGCGAAGACATAACTATCGACAGATGTAATGTAATTCAAGGAAAAATCCAGCGCATCCCAACGCATATTGTTCGGCAATTTCGGCAATGAGTGAAGTTCGCTTTTCAAACAACGTAGTTGAGATTCGTGACCCGAATGATAACATTGACATCGAGGTGGGAGTATCAAATGTTTGCAGTCGGCAAAAACATATGGAGATACAATTTCTTGACTCCTGGTGAAACGTAGAATCGAAAGAAATACAATCAACACGATCGACATTGGTTATCTAGAAAGAGAAATTATGCGATAACGATAAATGTTCTCCAGAGAAATTCAACACATTTAATATCGTTCGTCGATCGAATGTAATGTTTGGTTTGGCACTTCACTTGAATCATATTCAATGAAAAGACGAACATACTGGCGAAGAAAAGCAATGAGTGTATTTAAATGTACACATATATATGAAACAACTCGAAGGAATATGAATTGAATTACACATGGTAATAATATACCTTTGCAAGAGATGATGGTCGATCTATTTTCACTTACCTGGATCGATCTCCTAAAATGTCTGTATCAATATTATAGCAGATGCGATGAAAGATGAACATGACAAGTAGCTCGATTGGCGCACACGTCAATTTTACTCTCAACATGTTACGTGTCAATCAATCTCGTTAACACCATAGGGATGACTTCTTTCTAACCTTGATAGGCAAAGTACGACTATCTGCAATAGGTTTCTATACATTCGTATTTGTCCCTTTTCTTTCTTTTCTTTCAATAATAATATTTCCAATATATCGAGATGTGTAACCAAAAAAAAAAAGAAGATCAGACATGCACAGCAATGTGTTCTCGAGCAGAGAGTAGATATGTATAGATAGAAAAGAACTTTCTCGTGTATTTTCTTTCTTTTTTTTTCTATACTATACCATGCCTATACAGAGTAGGGAAAAAAACCTATCTCTCATCGGGTCTTTCTCTCTTTCTCTGTATTAAGATGATGATAGAACACCAAAATGATGCTTGTGTGCGCGAGCGAGCGTGTGTGTGGATATGTGTATATGCTTGAGGCACTTTTATCAATAGGAAAAGAAAGGTGCTGATGTGATGGATTTTTCTTTCGAGAGAATCGAACACAATGACGATGATAGATGCAACTAATTGAATCGTTTGAAGCTAATTTCCTGGATTCTGCTTTTTCTCCCTTCTTTTCTGATTCACTAATCTATGTCCATATATGCCACTGTTGATCTGGATGTTTCCTTTGTAATCAATCGCTAGAATTACTACTTCTTCACTGACATTTGATTAGAAATCTGACGATGACGCACTTATTGGCATATTTAACATTATTATCTTGTTATTCTCATCGACAGCAAGTGCGTAGTTCACTTTATTGGACCTGATATGATTATGATTATAAATGACAAGCAAGAGTTTGGAGACGACTAACTGTGCTCTTTGCGTCAGACACGTCATAATATGTATCACATGCTTGAGTTTCCTCGATAATTATCGACATATTGAAAGATTTCGAAGCCAATAGTGAACAGTCATATTTATGATCTCTCACGTTGCTTGGGATATTTATATATCAATTAAACGCAGATTGCTCTAATCATGACGCTCAACTGATCATTAATATTCATGAGTTGATGAGTATATGGAGAAAGGATACGAACTCAGCATTGAATGTTTAGCGACATCTATGAATTCTGATGAAAACAGTAAAATCTACTTAAAAAATTATCTTTTTATTCCTGAATTTCTCGTCGAATTTACCTGAAATTTTCCATAATCTACTCAAAGCCAACATTGTTGCAACAATGAATCATATTCAGGCATCATGACAAAGATGAAGAGTCAATCGTAATGGTATCTGTACAGTTCTCATAATATGCTCTATTGTTTTTGTTTTCTTCTGCCAGCACATATACGCATATAGACACAAACTTGTCTTGATCTATTGGTATCGCTTCTTTTAGATACAGTCGAATTCGTTGCCTTTTTTTTCCTTCTAAATGGCCGCTCTAAGAAAGAAACTAGTTATTGTTGGTGACGGAGCTTGTGGTAAGTTACTCGATTTGGTCTTCCTTGTTCGATCGAATCGTGATCATTGTTTCTTCTTTTGTTTACTTTTAGGTAAAACTTGCTTGTTAATTGTCTTTAGTAAAGACCAATTCCCTGAAGTTTACGTTCCAACTGTCTTCGAAAATTATGTATCTGATATTGAAGTAGATGGAAAACAAGTGGAACTAGCGTTATGGGATACGGCTGGACAAGAAGATTATGATCGTTTACGGCCGTTGTCATATCCGGATACAGATGTTATTTTGATGTGCTTTGCTATCGATAGTCCGGACAGTCTCGAGAACATTCCCGAGGTAAGATGAAACGAAATGTTTGATCTTGCAAAGAATTGTTGACTTTGTAGAAATGGACACCCGAAGTGAAACATTTCTGTCCGAATGTTCCAATCGTTCTTGTTGGAAATAAGAAGGATCTACGTAATGACGAAGCAACAAAGAAAGAATTGATGAAAATGAAACAGGAACCTGTGCGTAGCGAAGAAGGTCGAAATATGGCTGAGAAGATTGGTGCAGTTGGTTATCTCGAATGTTCAGCAAAGACTAAAGAAGGTAAGGAACCTCCCATTTGCTCTGTTCTATGTTCTACTTCTTTATTATTAGGTGTCCGTGAAGTCTTTGAGCATGCAGCTCGCGCTGCATTAGCGCGAAAGAAGAAACGTAGTGGTCGTTGTGTTTTAATCTAAGACAAAGGACTGATCACGACGCGCGTGAGCTTACTAGTCGAAAACATCAATACCAAATATATCTATGTCGAAAAAAACATCTCTTTACCTAGTCGTGTGTGTGTGTTTCTAAGAACAAAACATAAATATTGATTTACTTTTTTTTCGCTCTTATTCTACTCTTACTTATTCTTGCCCTTTTCTCTTCTAATCCTTATTCACATATTGTATATTTCATCATTATTTACTATTACTTCTCGTGTTTTTTTTCTTTTTTTTGGAATACTCTGTACTGTTACTCTTGCTACTGTTGCTTCTCGGTCAAACATTGAATGAGTGTGCGTTTTTGTATATTACGTTGATCCCATGATCTTCTTTTTTTGTTCTCGTTTTTTTAAAAAGCAAACAAAACAAAAAAGCATAATAAAACACACACATTTACATAGATATCTGATTGGAGAGAACGATCGAGCTTTTTTTTTGTTGAATAACAATAATAAACTAACAGACAAACAGATTTCGATGAATTATTTTGTAAGAATTAATCGTTGTCTCGTTTCAATAGAGAATCGTATCACGACGAGCGTACATATTCGAATCTCGAGCTGCTTTGGCAACCGCAGTTTGAATTGATTTCTTCATTTGTTCAGTTTCTCGTTGTAACATTCGGGAATTGGAGACGAGCGCCGCTTCTGTCTGACTCACTCGGCGATCTTTCAGATCAAGTTTCGATGCATATTGTAATTGAAATGTTTCATAAGCACTCGGTGGTTTATTTCGCTTCGGCTTTTTGAGAGATGTTTCCCTATTCTCCCGACGTCGCGAGTCGTAGAGATTATACAGAAGAAGACTGGACGTTTCTGGTGGGTTACCATCAATAGCAGGAAGATTGAACGTTGATAATCGACTTTTCGGACGTTCTAAATCGAAAGTATTTTTATCTGTAAAAACAGAAGCCTTTCATCTGTGATTGAGAATTAGTGAGTGTAAATAATTCAAAAAACAAACATTCCATTTTGCTGCAAATTAGTTAAGAATGTGTTCGTATCTATTCTCGCGAGGCAAATGGGATAAAGAAGTTCCTAAAGCGTACTCCAAAATGATTAAATAGATGTCAAGTAGAAATCATCGAACTATGCTTTTTCTTTTTCTTTGAATTAAGACAAACAGATGCTTCAGGCAATTAACATACCTTTATCAATATTTTTGAAGAGTTCTCGTTGGACTTTATCGTAATGTAGTTCATGTAATTTCGTTTTCACATCTTGCTGATCGAAAGTTATTCGCGAAATTTCATCGTGATGTTGAGCATGAAGTTGGCGCATTTTTGATCGGAGATTATTGGATTCACGTTGGTTTCGATAACGTGCTCGAGTTTGATTATCGAAGATATGAAGAGTTTTCGTTGGTGCAACACGCGAATTCTTATTCCCCATGTTCAAAGGTGTTGTCAAACGAGAAGAAAAGCTATGATGACTTCAAATTGTGTTTGGAGGGAAAATGAAAAAAAGGCGTTGTTTAATGGCAAATAAATATTATTCAAATACACACGTGGAATAACAAGTACACAAGTATTTAGGGTCAATATTTTCGACGATTTGATCGTTAAAGAAAAACTCAATTGAATTGAATAACAAATTGAATGTTATTCTTCAGCTTCATCATTGATAAATTTCGATGGTTACAATCATAACAACAGCAGGACTTCGCCTTTCTTCTTCCATTTTCAAACCATAGACGGTCTTAATCTCAGATTACCCAGTTTACATTTTCTATCGTTTATTATTATTATTCTTTCAACCGAACGAAGACATTTTATACATAAGTGTTGCTGTTTGATTCCCAGATGTTGAATCTCATCATCAAACATTTTCTTTTATATGAGACATACGCACACGCGTCTTCCAAAGACTCGAGGTCCTTATGTTTAAGTTTGTTTCCTGTTAAGAAGTTTTCTTTTCATAGTCTCTTTCTTTTATTAGTAGATCAAGGATGTCAGACTTACTAGAGCACAATTATATGAAGTCCATGAGTACCTATAACAGAACAGTTCATATATTTATTAATTTTCTTCTGTCTGTAAGACCGCAGAACGGGTACATTTACGAACATCGAGTTCTGTGACATTGAATAATTAACATGTACTTCTGATGAATTCTCGTGTATGTAATAATATTTTATCTTTATTCGATTCTATTCGGTAAATTTAGAATGTTTATTTTTTCCATCAGAACGTCGTAAATGGACTGGTTATGGAAGAAAGTACAAAAGTCAAATATCATATTCGAACGAGACTAACAAAACACGACAAAAAAAGAAGATTCATTAAATGTGAAATCTCCTATAAAATATATATTTGATAACACTCTCAATTGATTACATTTCATTCCACTGACTCGATATTATTTTTCTTCGGTTAAAACACATGAACGTCAAATGTGTTAGTTTTCTTTTTGGCGTAGTTTTCACTAATTTTAACATAGTTTTGTATATTGCCGAAAAATTACAAAAAACTTATTCATCACTTGACAGACGATTGAATTCTAATGATGATGCGGTTGGTATTGAGAACTAAGATGAATGATATCTATCTATTACTCGTGGAACACTGTTCATTTAAAAGATAATAAAATCATTGCTACGGTAATATTCAACTCTTGAGTTGCAAAAGACAAGATGTATCCGCCAATTTTTCTTCATTTTTGCGCATCGATCATAGTCATAATGGCAATTAATTAGCTTTTTCCAAAAGAAATTCTATGCGGGTTGGTGTTTAATTGAACAATTCATTTAATATTCGGAAAAGTTGTTGTTTATTCTAGAAAATAAGTTTACTTACGATCGATCGATCGATTTCTCCGTTTCAATTAAGTATTGCTCGAGCATTTCTTATAAGCAATATGAATTTCACAATAAACGCCGACTCTATTGTATTCTGTATATTGTATATCTCAGGCAGTGGAACTTGTTTATTCATCAAAGAACAAAGTATGCGTATAGACAAAAGCAGGCAAATATTTTTGTACTTCAGATCTACGATCATTAGATAATAGAGCATTGTTTTTTCATCAAATGTTTAGAGTTCCATTTATTCAGTTTCTTTCTGTTAAATGTTCCTATGACCAAGAAGCATTTCTTCTTATCCTAGTTAGATACTTATAACCAGGATTTGTCTACTTAAACTGTCTAAGTTAGCGTTAATGTTTGAGCCGAAGCAGAAAAACACGAAGATTTCTTTCAGGTAAAATTGGTTTCTTGTGCACAACATGGCCAACAAGAATTCAGATTAAAGATGCATGGTAGGATGTCTTTCACATCCGAATACGTCAGTTATCTCTAATTACGATGAAATGTACCAGATTATCAAAGAAGGTTCACTGACTTCAAATTACTGGCACATTGAAAACGATTTGATGCGCCATTGATGCACTTGATTAAAATAAAAATGATGAATGTGATTTGGCTAATGGTACTTATTGTTTGTAAGTGCAATAGTATATCTCACACCTTGATGAACTTCTTACCCAGCGATGACATCAGGTGAACAGGTCAGATGTCAACTAATGATAAATTTATGACTATATCAATTTCCGTCTAATTCCTCTCGAATTGCCCTTTCTAGTTTGCTGTCAAAGTAACAAACTTCATGCATTTGAATGCTATTATTGCAATGATGAACAGGGATATTATTGCCCTCAACCATTTCCATCGAAATCTATGCTTAGTAGCAACGTCAAATATCATGAACAGATGAAAAATATCGCCATTAGCTCAAATAATAATCCGTTGATGGGCCCGATTGTTAGTTGCTTCGTGCGCAAGATAATTTTTGACGATTCTGAGTTTGTTCTTGTAACTACAAACCGATTTCATTATGGAAAACGGACTACTACAATCATAATTACGAATATCAAAATACATATTGTGGCGCTATGAAACGGTCGATGAATGCGTCGCTAATTTGCCAATCAAACTATCTTTTATCACAAAACCCAAATGATCCCGGATGGAAGAAAACATTTTGTCTCCACCGCACTCGATACAATCGCGGAAATAGGCTTTTTCACTTCCCCTCGAATAGTTTCTAGGTTAATTATACAAATTGCACTCTATCATTTGTTCATTTTCTCATCTCATTTGCATGATCTCATTTTGCATTCTTGTTCTTATATATAGAAACGAATTGTCCGAAAACAGATCCATTAGAAAATAAATTAGTCAGCAGGAAGCAAATGGATCCATCGATATTCATCGGAAAAACTCTACGCGAAGACACCGTGTCGCCTGAGAAGCAAAGAGAGTGCAGATTTGAGACAAATTCGCATTTTACATAGTTGTTGCGGTATGTTTAGAATTAATAACTAATAAATAATATTGTATTGGCATGGTTTCAAATCTCCGCTTGTTTTTCTTTTCGTTTAATTGGTCTTATCATAATAGGATATATGTGATAAAGCTCTATTTGTGTCCTTGCAGACTATTTTACTATCACGCACTAATGACAAACAAAATTTGAAAAGATAATCTCAAGACGTACGACGATGTGTCAGTCAACAAAATATTTGTATTAAAAATATAGGATTTCATTTGTGAATATTTAATAATACTGTCGGAAAGGAAATGTTGTCAGAATATCGAAAAAAATAATATCGAATATCAACAGATCGATAAATATATTCTATGGAATCTATGATCCGAAAGTAAAATGGTGCCAAAAGTTCGTATAGTTCTAACTCATTTCTTCACTGGCAGTCTCAGTCTAGCTCACCAGCATTCGCGTCTACCTTTCACACACATCCTAAAGATGATAGAAAATCTCATATTTATCTCATGAAAATTGAGCATTTCGAATCATATGAAATTTATTGTTCAAAGTTTCCTTTTTTTTGAGATTTTTCTCTTCGATACCATCACTTTCGATCTTTTTCACACAATGCCTTCGAGAATGGCATCTAAATAATCAAAATGAAAAGCTCGAGTCATTGCCTGGAACACATTCAATATGAATGAACATCTCTGCGCCTCTTTCTCGTTCGTGACCTTTCAATCACCTCGAGCGTTTTTTTTTATTCCGAAAAAGCTGATGTTCTCTCTTTTTTAGATCATTACTGATTGTATCTAACAGTCAACTGAATTCTAATTAGTCCTTTTCTTTTCTTTTCACAATCTTACGAACAAAAAACAACAGAGAGCGTCGTGTGCATATTAATCTGTCGAATAGAAACAAATACATGGCTTCTGAAAGAGAAAAAAAGAACTGAGCACAACAGAGTTATTAGAATACCTGTTTCTTGATGTGTGTCGAATGTGTTTCAGACTTGAACTTTTCCAACGGGGTTTTGTAGTCGACGACAGCGGGAGATTATCACTCTGACAACATAAGATGTGGATGAATGAATCTTGATTAGTGAAACTCTCTTAGTTCCATCAAGCATGGACATATCTCAGGAGTGATCGTATCATAGAGTACAGTCTCGCAGTCAACTAGAAGAAATCTTTCGTTTAAAACCAAAATGCAGAGTAAAGTGCGAGCTTTTCGTGATCTGCTTTGGGGTTCTGAGTGGTATCTTTTACTCACGCTCTTTCTTTTCAAGCTACGCCCACTATTGATAGTTGTCGTTGAAAGATATTCATGTCTAAAGTAGCAAGAGGAGAAGCCGAGAAAATAAAGAAAGGAAAGAGGAGAATGACAACTATAAGGAAAAAGAAAATCTAATCGTCTTTCATGAAAAAGTACAGAGGGAGGAAAGAAGCAAGATATTAGTGATGTATTTTGCAAAAGATTTCGCTGGAGAATATCATAATTCTACTGTTGACAAACTTAATTCCTTTTTTTTCTTGTTTACTTTCTAGAAATCGCAGCATGAGTATGTCCATCTAATTGACTCTTTACAGAAGAATACAAAAATCAGTAATAACATTCAGAAAATGTCATTCAACATGCATTTAGTAATACATCACTATTATGGATAAAAGAAAACGATGAATCAGTATAATCTTTCATCATCGACGCTGTCTTTACTGACAAATCAAACCACTTTACCAGCAGCTCCAATTGCCAAAAATGTATTTATGCGATATGCTCATCTCATCTACGTCGCATCATTAGTTATACTTGGTGTTTGCGGAAACATCCTTTGTGCTATTGTTTTCCTAACGAAATCTCTCAGGTAAAATTCAATGAATAATACTTTCCTCATAAATATCAATAATAACAATCTCTTAGACGTATTCGTTCATCTGCATATTTATTCACATTAGCATTGATTGACGTTTTCTTTCTTCTTGATCTTCTGCCGGGAATGATTCATACCGCTTTCATAACCGATCTATACCGAAGACTGAATTTCATCTGTTATCTACAAACGTATGTTTCGTTCGTTGCTTCATTTGTACACATATGGATGGTGCTTGGCTTCACAGCAGAACGCTTTTTCGCTGTAAATTTTCCATTAAAACATATGTCACAGTGCACTCCAAATTTCTCTCGTACGGTGATTTTCATCATAATTATTCCAGCATTTATATGTTACATTCATCCAGCATTTTTCGTTTCGGAAGTCGACGAGCTAGGACAATGCCGAGAGAAAGGTGGCTATGAACGTTATTTAACCAATATTAACCTGATCGACACTATCATGACAATGTTTCTACCATTCATTCTCGTCTCGGTATTAAATATACTTATCATCAATAAATTATTTTGTTCGAAGACATTTCGTCAACATGTTTTTGCTAATGGGTCACGATATCAGTGCCGTCGTACATCAAATTGGACGACAAAGCCGGCTTCAACAAAACAGTCGCTTGCTGCATCAACATCGACTCCGACTCTTCCACAAAATAGCCCTGTTCTCTACCGTTCACAATGTATTATACGTCCGTTCCGTACGACGGCAACTCAATCTGCATTGTGTTTGTACCGAACATTTACAAACTCGGAATCTTCGCCGTCAAATGTCCATAGAATGTTCCCGAGTGAGATTCAACAGAAGCCAATAACGACATCGAGTATTCGAACGAAACAAAATCCGACGGCACGACGTAATGAATCAGCACAGCGACATGTCTTAACTGAACTCCGTTTAACGAAAATGCTCTTAGCCATATCACTCACATGTCTTTCATTGAATTTCCCATCATACTATCTTCGTTTCATGTTTTTATATCATCAATCAAGATCAAGTTCTCAACCGAATGAAACTCATTCTGCTTTCTATGCCGTTATTTTTCACTTTATGTCATACTTAAGTTACTCTATTAATATCGTCATTTATTTATTATTTGGAGGAAATTTTCGTCGTGAGTTAAAACGTCTCTTTTCTTTCAAATCATCATCATCGCTACGTGCCGACAATGACAAGTCGGTATCACGCGGATTGAATTCCGACAAACAATATGGAAATTTCAATGAATACGACTCCGTTGGTCTAACATCAGCGTCGCCGAACAGTTCCATACGTATATGTGGTTCAATAAGATCTGGCAAACTACGTGAACAAGCCAGTCTACGTCGGACTTTACGGCAACAACAGATTCTCATGAGTCATCAGAATAGAACATTAAGTACAGGAAAAACTAATGGAAAATAAATTAAATTTCTCCGTTCGAAACATCCGCTGGCTAACTAAACTCGGTTTTCATGTTGATTCTCATGATGAATCCATACTAAAACAGGATTCTAGCTCAGCAAAGAAACATATTCTAATCTAATAGAACATGCAATGATGATGCTAAATCGCCTTTCTGATATTCTGTCACGAAAATAAGTCGAACTAATCGCTTACCTCATAATCATTAGAAATCGATTAAGAAAGACATGTAGAGAGACACACACGCACACATCGACGCGTTCTATTTATTCTTCAGTTCACAGGTCAAACTAGACGAAGATTTCAACGAGAAAAAAAGGCTTATTTAACAATCTAATCTATACAAACAACAGAAAATAAACAACTATTTTGACCTTTAAATATATTTGTTGGATAAGAAAAAAAAACCGATGAAAAGAAGATAAATGAGTGTGAGAGAAAAATTGCCTATTAATACAAAAAAACATCTTTGGAGGGACGCAGCTGATGACAACAATTTGGAGTTCTTCATAGTGCGCTGAAACATGTTTTTCTCCGAATGATTAAGCGAAATGTGCTATTCTAAGAATAAACACATATTCAATGAAGCGAAAGAAAAGAAAATAATCGTTGTCAAAAGAATTGACACACATTAGTAGAAGAAAAAAAATATGGACGGAATCAAAGCAAACAAGAACTTCGAAGCAAGTTTATGGATTCATTTTATCGAAT